TTGGAATTCCACTGGGGCGTGGGGTAAAGGAAGAGGAAGAGGAGTTAGGAGAACAAGGCAGAGAAGCACATTTTAAAAAACAGACAAGATGGCTAGGCCATCACCAACCGACTGACTTACCTTCCATCTCTGTGGGCAATTCCCCCAAACTTTGACTTTTTTCTCTCAATTATCTTTAAAAACAAAACAGAACACATTTTAAACCCAAGGGCACAAAACACCCTCCCCTCCCACTTTCCAGAGGCCTCAAGTTTGCTCCCATCTATTTGAGGTTTATTGGGGCACCCCCTCCATTTCTAGCCCCGTATTTCTGCTTCAGGACATTATTACCTACACCCCACACCGTTGATTACAGTTTTCAGAGGGCTCAGGGATGGTGAGAGATCCTGAAAGTCAGAGCTGCCTGTATTATAGATATATATATTTTTTTCTTTTACATGAAAGTTAGGAGGTAGGCAAGTTGTCAAGACTGAAGCCTTGCCCGTTCTGCCACCTCCTGTGTCGGCTCCGGGTCCATCCCCCTCTCTCCACAGAAAGCAATCAGCGACAGGAGGTTCTACACTTTTTCTTTTCTTCTGTTACTCTCTTGACTTAACGTGAAAACAGGGTATATTTGAACAAACTGTCTGTCCCAGGCAGGGGCTGCAGCTTGGCCTGTGAGCCTTGCTCAGCCTCCTGACCGGACACTTTTGTTGCACTTAGAGTTTACATTTTAACGGATATAAAAACAACTGTGAGAGATGCCTGGGCCTGCAGGAGTCCAGCATTGCTCAAAAAGCGTGTGTTCTAGTGAACATTTTCATATATATTTATTGGTTATAGCCTGTTAAAATATTTTCTTTTTGTATTATTTATCCCCCTACATTATGTATTTATGAGGGAAAAAAGAAAAAAAAGTACTTTTTTAGTATTTACTTGTTATAAAGGACATTGTGTTTCCCGTCATGTAAAACCAGCTATTTTAGTTATTATTGTACTCTAGAAAAGAGCTGTAGATTTATGTTAAACTCGTACTTATGAGCAATTGTAATTAGTTTAAAAGGCATGAACTCAGCTCCTAATCGTCACTGTATAGTCCTGAATTTGTAGAATTAGAGATATTCCCTCTTGGAACTTTCTTTGTTCTTCGTAGTTACTTTTTTCCTCACTTAAAAGGGTTGTCTGTCGAACAATTCTTGAATAAACTTTCTGTTATCAATTTTATCTTGTCTAGTGGTCCAATTTAACTAGCAGATCCAGGCTGCTCTCTGCCCAATTTTCCCTAAGGAAAGGACATTGAAAGACCCTATGCTGGCCTTTTTGTCCGCCGCTCAGGCCCTACTTCCCCTTTTCTGTGTCTCAGGTTTAAATCCAGTTTTCCTGACTCACACTAGCCTGGAACACTCTGCCAACTTCTTTAGCTAAGGTTTAAGTCACAAGTTGGGAGGGAGGCTCTTGGGCGCTCTCTGTAGGTATTTCTGTTCGGCCCCTTTGCCTCTCAGTTTCTCTCACTGACCTTTTGTCTGTTCCTCCTTTGGCCACTATCTCCGTGCTTCTCCCCCCACCCCTGACCCCAAACAACAACAAAAAATCTGGCGGGTTGCTGTCTCTTCCTAAACTTCACAGTCCTCTTCCGGAGCTACAAAGAAGCCGTCACGTGACCCGAAGCCCAACCACCATTGGGTCTAAAATGAAAACAAAGGAAAATGATTAATCTAAAAAAAAAAAAAAATCGTAGGCCTAGACTTCTCAGGTCAAACCTTAAAACTAAAGTGAAATTAAATCACTAAATAAAACTTGGGGCGAAGGGAGAGGAGACACATTCGATTTCCCCCGCCAGAGAAATGAGAGAGGAGGAAGCTGTTAGATCCAAACGTAAATAAAATGGTCCCCAGGCTAATGTGCGGCTCTGTTTCCACAATCCTTGGGAAAACTTCATTTCTTAGTTGTGGTTCCATAAAAGTTTTATCACATTGGAGCGAGGATAGAGACGGTCCGTCAAAGATGAAATGTCACCGCCTCGTCCCTGGAGCCGATAAGAGCGAGGAGACAGGGTGGCTGAAATATGGAGCTAATTCGTTGAAAGAGAAGCGATGGCTGCCTGCTGAAGGGTTGCGTAATTCTAATTGTAAGCGATGCACCCGCTTTGCTTCATTAGGAGCATATATTTGGTGGTAGTGATGGGAGGGGGTGTTGAGAATCGTTCCCGGCCCTCAGCCTCCGAGAGCTGATTTTCATTTTTATGTTGCATCCTGGCAGTCCAAGGTTAGTAATTACAGTCTTTATGCAACAATAAATAACAGTAAAAAAGCAACCTGAATTCTACACCCTCCACCCCCACCCCCTGTCGCCACCAAGTAGGATTTTCACCGGACTCACGCATCCAAGCAGCAAACAATTTAGCGCTGGGTCAGACTATAATTTAAAGGCATAAGAGTGTGCAAAGTTTGACTGAGATCAAATAACGCTCAAGGGTTTTCTTTCTTTCTTTCTTTCCCTCTCTCTTTCTCTACCCTGAATAACATTTTCTGGATGATGTAACTAGATGAAGCGCCATGTTTGACTCTGCGGGTGAGGTGGATTGATTATTTGTCTAGCAAAAGAGAGGCAGGCAAAGAGGAAGAATTTAGCTCGAGTTTGAAAACCAGAGCGTTGGCCTAAAGCTGGAATAGCAGGGCCGACGTGGCTTGGTGTCCCTGTGTACTTCTCTCTGACAGATTCCAGGCTCTCGATTAAGCAGCCAAAGATGTGGGTAAAATATCCAGGCTGTAACATTTGCAGCACAGCAAGGGGGAGGGAACAAGGGAGCGACATCTCTAGGAAGGAGGTCTCTCTTGGCCCCTTTTAACACCCAAGTTTTCTGTTGTTCTCTAATCTGGCTGTAAAATCTGTCAGCAAGGGTTAGAGAGAGCTGTATTTTCTGCAAGGACAGTCTAGGCTGGCCGGAGCTGCCAAGACAAGTGCTCAACTCTGCAGCCAGCTGAGCGAGTCTGTTAAAACTCGCAGGGCTTCTCAAGGGGGTGGCCAGAGAGGGAACCCCCACTTAGGCCTCATTTCACAGCTTCCAGACAGTTACTATTCAACCACTCCCCCACACACACCCCCAGAAAATCCGCAAATGGCAAAAGTGGGTTTCTTTGGAGCCAGATTGAACAAACCATTTCTGACCAGTTTGCCCAGTTCTGAGCCCTCCAGAGCCTGCCTCCCCTGCCCCTGCAGCCCCCACCTCCAACTCCCTTTTCTCCATCCTGGCTCCCTTCCACCCCCATCCTTCTCCTCAGACTTCTCCGTCCTTTTTAAATACTCACCACCACCCACGCGGATGTTACATTGACAGAAACTTTCTAGTTCCAGCGCCCGGCTGAGCTGCCATTTCTTTGCTAACCAGCCTTCTCCTCCTGGCTGGGCAGCAGAGTGAGGAGGGGGAGGGGAGGCCAGAGCCGTGGGAGTCCTCCAGACAAACTTTCCACCCAACTTAGGGCCCTTCCCTCTGTCCCCATTTCCCATCTGTTTCCCTGCTCTCCCAGAATCACCTTTCTCTTTTGCTAACCGCCCCCCCACCCCGGCCTTTTTAAGGGATGTAGAGTTTGGGCTGTTCCCTCTGCTTTCCCAAAGAGCCAAATTCTTTGATGCAATCGGAGGGAGCTGTCAGGGGGCTAAGATTGATCGCCTCATCTCCTCTCGGTCCTTCTGACCCACTTATTTAAAAATCTTCCCCCAGATCGACTTTTCATTTTCTGCTTTGAGGTCTA